TATTGAAGCTCTTACCCTCATTCAATGCAACTACAATCAAAACCATCCTCTTTCAAATACCATAAATAGGACCAGAGATTTAGTCACAAAGAATTGGATTGTTACTTCCAATTATGTTTTTAACGAAGTGAATATAAATATGCACAGATTGGCTTACTTGTTAAGTGCCAAACAAGAATTTAGACACTATCATAAGATTCTACATAATTCTCAAAATAAACAAGGCATACAAATTTAGAATAAAGAATCCTAAGCCTTGGGCTATTTCAACAATTTTGTCCTATCCTGATAAACTAGCTATTGTAATATTTAAGAGAGAAGGGTGAATACAATTACTCAATAACTAAGGTACATCTATCCATACTAATGTATATCAATTAATTTCAAAGTATAAGTGGCATAGCAATTCTATAATCATGTCAAATTTTCCATTTGCAAGTTCATTTTAATAATTATAGAATTGATCACATAATATCATATGATTTTCTCACAAAGTCACAATACAGACAACAAGTACCCTTAATAACAACATGCATGATCACACCTCCTTTATGTATTCTCCTTGTGTAAAGACTCCTTTATTAATCCACATATTTAACACTCTTGGGTAGTCATGAGATTAACCCTAATGAGTTACCCTACCATTAATCATTCCCATAACACTATTGAATTCAAACGGTATTCTTTCATAAATTGGGATCCCAAATTTTCAAACCATTCAAAGATTATTTCCAAGGACAACTCAATCCAAATTAGAGATTAAGATAATTACAAAAGCATCAAGAAAATCTAGTTAGTATGAAACAGGGGCAAGCGCCGCGGTGTCTTACAAAGAAAACAACATAACCATTCCTTTTTTGAAGATGATGAACCACTCCCAAATCTATGTGGAAAACAAAACCACTCATATTATAATGTGATATCTTTTATATGAATTTTTAATAGTATTATGAAGACTTAACCAATCTGTTGAACTAGTTGAATTGGGACCGATTCTAAGCTTGGTTATAGCTGAAATGCCTAGCCAATAAACCGATCAAAACTAGCAAATCTAATGGATAAACTAGTTGAACCAATTCTATTATTTTTTTAATTTTTAAAATTTCAATTCATATTTATAAACTACAAATTACAAATATTCATACCTAATAAGTAGTAATAAATAAAAAAAGTACAGATATGAAAGAAATATATATATGAATGTGTGTGTGTGTATTTTAAAATTATAAATTATCAATCATGAAATAAGTATATATAATTTAGATTAAAGCAATGAAATATTGATAGATACTACCTTATTTATTTTATATTATTTGATTAAAATTTAAAAATTCATTTTTTTATTATATGTAATTATCATTTTATTGAACTGTCAATACATCAGTCAGTTTAATGATCGATTCGATTTTCTTAGTATAAGATTTTAAGATCACCAACTAATTAGACTATTAACATTAATCACCTTGACAAATCTAACATTCCCTTTGAAGTTGATAGCATCCAATTTAAGGCGTTCAACTTGCTAGCATGAGAAGGGGAGTGAAGTGAATTAAACCAATGGATGATAGCACAAAATAGAAGGATGTGAATGATCTTGGAAGCACAACCATCACAATGCAAGTCGTTCTTCAAGACTACAGTGGTAGGACGAATTTTCCGTTTCCTAGTCATATCATTCTTCTCCTTTGTTGGACCATCGCTTTCTTTTGGGTGTTCTTCTTGCAATAAAATGAATAAATTGAAATTCTCGGGAGTCATCCTTTGTTCAGATCAACAACGGATGAACCTTGAGTTGAGGATTGCGAAAACCTCTGGAGTTGATGCATCTTCAATCTCTTGTGCTTCTCTTTTCTTTCCTTCTCTCCCTTATGTTTGAGAATTGCGCAGAGGTGAAACAAATTCAAAGTTAGCGAACAAGAATGGGAATATAGAAGTGGTGTTCGATGACGAAGATCACTCCTTGGGTTAAGAAAGCGGGTCTTGGATACCCGTTCGTTTGTTGGGGTAACCACACCGGGCTAGAAATGAAAATTGAACTATGAGAGGCCCAAGAGCAACTCGGGCCCTAAATACCATGTAAAAAAACATTAACCATAAAATGATAAACCTTCATTAATCAATTCAACAAATGGCAATGAGAATAACAAATTCTTCTAGGATGTTTTGCAAAGAAGACAACATGGCCCTTCCTTGAAGGGTGTTAAAGAAACCTCAAATCTATAGGATGAGACAATGATGGAGTAACATTCCAATCAACTCCCCACCTTTAATATAATGTGATATTCTTTGCATGAATTTTAGGATCATCAACTAACTAAATAATTAACACTAATCACTTGACTAACACATGTTCCTCTTAATGTTGGACCAAAATGTTGTTCCTTGTTTCTCTCTATCAACGATGGAAAGTGGAAACAATCCAATCCCTTATCAAGTGGTTAGGCTATGCCCAAGCCTATTTATTTTTTATACTATAATGTGATTTATGTTTAGACATATTTTTTAAAAATTAAAGGGACAAAATAAAATTTATTTGAATAATTTCATTCAAAAGCTAATTGAAATGCATAATGACAAAAATATGAGTTTTCTTGTAAACATTTTTTTGACTAATTTAATATTTTTAGGAAAAATTATTGAATTAAATTACAGTTTTTTTAAAAAATCTATATATAATTAAGTATTATTTATGAAATATAAAATATTAATAAATTAATAAATATTAAATTACATAATTTTAAATAAATTGATAGATTATAAAATGTTAAATTCAAGAAAAAAGGAAAATTCATTCAAAAAATAGAATAATAAAAAAATATGATATTAAGAGATTAATACTAATAAATTATAGTATGATTTTTATACTCCATCGGTCTACAGAAAAAATGAATGATCAGTTGAGATTTAAAGGAAAAAAGTGAGGGCCGTACAAAAAAAAAAGGAAGGAAGAGTTGAAGGGGTTTGGGGTTGAGGGGAAACCTAGGAAGAAAAGAAAAAAGAGTAACATAATTCCATTTAAAGAAATTGAAAAAAAATATAATTTTACATCCCTATATTTGCTCAAATTTTAAAATATTAAAAAAATAAAAATGTAAGGATTTAAAATATTAAAAAAGCAGAAGAATTTATAACAAAACTCAATAAAGTGTAGGAATCTAAAGTTATATTTTTTTAAAAATAAATTATTACAAAGAGTGGGTCTTTTTTTTTTTTTTGAGAGTCTCATCTACAGCTTCCAAAAAAAAAAAAATACTTAGAATCCAATACATTTTAAAATTATTCTATAGGTCTAAGGATCCTTTTGCCAAATATATTTTAGGGTTACCACTAATGAACAAATTCCTTATTAATATGTGAATTTAAAATTATAAATTTATGAATATCTAGTTGTAAAAATTTAAACTTACTGTTATGATGAACTTTAATTTTGAATATATGAAGTCATAAACTCTGTACTTTGACTTGTGAGTAGATGAACCTTTGCTTGTAGATATTTAAATTTTAAGTTATAAACTTATTAAATTAGCTAGGATGAAATGTCAACTCTAAACAAGAATTTCACTACTAATGAATAATTACTTATTAATACGTAAATTTAAAGTTATGAATTGGTGAACATGTAGTTATAAAAAATCTAAACTTGCTGTCATAGTAAACTTTAATTATGAATTTATGAATTCATAAATTCTAAAGTTCGACTAATGAATAATGAACTTATACGTGTGAATATTCAAATTTTAAGTTGAGAATTTATTTAGTTGGCCAAGGCGAACATATAAACTATAAACAAAAATTTCTCTATTAATAAACAATTACTTATTAATATGTGAATTTAAAATTATAAATTTATGAATATGTAATTATAAAAATTTTAATTTACTATCACAATAAACCTATTTCTGAATATATGAGGTCATAAATTTTGGAGTTTGACTTGTGAATAGATGAATTTTGACTTGTGAATATTTGCATTTTAAATTGAAAATTTATTAGTTAGCCAAGGCAAACATATCAACATTAAATAAGAATTTCACTTTCAATGAACAATTATTTATTTGTATACAAACATAAAGTTATGAATTCATGAATATATAATTGTAATATTTAAATTTGTACATGTTACCTTTTTCTTACTAAAGACAATTGTATTCTTTCACCTTAAAATATATTTGCAAAAATATCTTTACACTTATAAAATAATTTTAAAATGTATTGAACTCTGTATAAGTGTAATTTTTTTTTTCTTATGAGTCGAAGGTGAGACTCTCCTTTGTTTTGTTTTGTTTTTTTTTGTGTGTTGATGTGGAGATCCCATGGCCCCTCTCTTGATTCCAGTACTGTGTTTAGAAAGAAGCTCATCTCCTGAATTCACATAAAATGAATCTTTTTTTTTTTAAGAAAACTCTTTTCAAAAATTTCTTATCCAAATAAAATATAAAATTTTTAAATGAGTTTTAACACCTCATCTATAAGGCTTGGGTTACTCCATCACCCTTATAATACATTTGGATATATATGAATTTAATTTAAATCTATTATTTAGATAATTAAAAATATATAAATTTAAATTTAATCTAAATTTAAATTCAAGTTCTATCGTTCAATCTTTTTATAATTTTAAATTCATTCTAAATTTTTATTACTTCAAATCCTATCTTAATTTTTTTATAATTCACCGGCCCGTTATTTGAAACCAACAGTGCAGTTCGATCCCGTTGAAAGTTGGCTATCCGAACAATCAATTTTAACTAGAACCGAATTGTTAACGTTGTTCGAGTGTTTTTAAATTTAAATATAAATTTTAAAATTTAAAATTTTACTTAAAATCAAAATAATAATTTTAATATTATAATTTAAAATTTTTTATGTTATCAAAATAAATAATTTAAAATTTAAATGTAAAACTTTAAATATAAAATTTTAAATTCAAATCTACAATTTAAATTCACCAATCCAAACCTACTTTAATGAATCGAAGTCATTGGCTCTTTACTCCCTGGTCCTCTTGCCACTGAAGCTCGGCCTCCTCCTTCGCCGTTAAGCCATCCATTGCCGTCGTTCTCTCCTCCATCATCAAACCATCTCTTCTTCAACGCCCCATCGTTGCCGTTCTCTCATCCTCCGATATCAACCCATCATCTATTCATCTCCATTGCTTTTCTCGTGTGTATTTCTCGTCTCTGACCTCTGACCGACTCATACCTTGCTTCTTGTCGTCGCCGGTTGTCTCACGCCAGGTTTCATCGTCTTTTGCCTTTGTTTTGCCATCGCTTTTTATTTTTTTGGCTGATTAAGCGATATTTCTATGCAAATGACGTTAGTTTAATGTCTAGAGTTCTAGGGTTGCCTTGTATTGTGTCATCACAAGAGATGTTTCTGGTTCAATGGATGGCTTCTTGTCTTTGCAAGTATATTTTATTCAGAACTAGTTTCCCTATTCATTTCATCCTCAGATGAGATCTTAACGGCAGATTTTAAGTGTTATTATAAATTTTATATTTTTATTTATAAAAAAAATTTATAAAATAATTTAAATAAATTTTTTATTTTAATATGGTTTAAATTAATTTAGAGAGTCTAATTCAATATTAAAATTAAAATTTTATAATTGATATAAATTATTATTCAGATGTACTCTACACAATTCAGATAATATAATTGATGTATATCATGCAAAGTATATCTGGATAATCAATATATATCAATTATAAAAATTTTAATATTAAATTAGATCCTTTGAATTAAATTTAGATCAAATTAAAAATAAAAAATTTATTAAAATTATTTTACTAATTTTTATTTTAATAAATCTAATATAAAATTATACTTGAAATTTGAACCATCAGATCTCAATTGAACCCTAATTTATTCTGCCCCTATATTATGTATGACAGTGCCTAAAGATTTGTGGTTTAATTTGCTACTGGATAATTGGGATTTATATGTGTTTTTTTTATTAAACTGGATTTTCTATTGAGACTTTTTTACCAATATTTTTTAATGGGTTATAAATTTTTAGTATATATTTATAAGATAGGATTTTATTTCATGATAACATGAGGTAGGTAGGATTGTTTTTAGATTTTTTATGCTAATCACTTCCTCCGTTGAAAAATGATAAAGTATTTTTTGAGAAGTTGAATGTTAAAAAAATAAGACATTTTTAATCTTTCGAGATGTAACTATTGCCTTGTTTTCAAAATTTTTCTTATTGATAATGACTTTATATTTATTAAAGGGTGTTTAATAGAGATAAGTATAAAAAGATAGGGTTAGTTTGAAAGTAGGTAATTACTTTATTGAACGTGAGATTCAATTAAAAATACTTTACATTTTTTAATGAAAAGAGTAGCAATTAGTAAATTCATGTCTAAAACAATAAATATTTTTTCTAAATTAAAAAGTTTACTATATTTATTATAAATAATTACATTTATTTAATATATTTAATCATACACATTACAGCTATATAAAAAAACAATCTTACATGTAAATATGTACATAAAATAAATTCAAGTACTTTTTGGTCATTCTATCTTTAAACCTACTTTTAAATTTTAAATTATATCTTACAAATAGATTTCAATTTGTCAGGTGATTTTTTTATTAAAAAAAAAGACGATTCTTTTTTTAAAAAAAAAAACGCTTGATCTTTAATTTTAATTAATTATCAAAACAAAAAAAAGCTTGATCTTTAATTTTAATTAATTATGATTTTGATATATTTAAAACAGCATCTATGAATAGTGAAGAAATGACCCCGCTGCCGCACTCTCGTGTCTCGCCCTCGCCTTCTCCCCGCCCTCTCGCCTCTCGCCTCTCACCCTCCTCTCACAAGAGAAGCGCCACCGTTCAGTGAGCTTGTAGCCGCTGCCGCCCTCCACATCTCCTGCTGTTGCATTACACTGTACACTTTTTCCTATGATTTTTTTTTAGCAACCTTGGTTTTTGCTCAACATAATTGTATCAGGAAAATTTGAAGTAGGGACAGATTTAGGGCCGTGAATCAATGGCCTGAAATCTATTTTTAAAGAAAACAAAGAAAGAAAGGAAGCCTTGTTTCTGGTGTTATTTCACACGTTTGAGTTTTTCTAATTTTTTTTGGTCTTTTGAATTTAGCACTACCATATGCTTAACAACTTCTTAACAGGACTTGGGATCTCACTGAGGTTTGATTCTTGGAGGCCCTTTGCTACTCTAGATAGGATTTCCTATATTGACAACTGTGGTTAAAATGGATGATACTTTTATTAACGACAGGCCTGAGGATGTGTCCTGGCTATGTTCCCTTTCAGAGTCTGAGATTGTAAGTTTTTTTGTCACTTGAGTTGACCACACCATTTTTAATCGTATCTTCATTCATCGGTTCTTTAGTTGGAGTTTTGATTTCAGTCCCTTCGTATCACTTCAAAGATCAGTAGTATATCATTAGGTGGCCCGTTAAAAGTTTCATGTTTCTTTTCATATTCTTGATGCTATGCAAAGATTCTTATATGCACCTCATAATATATAAAATTGCTAATGTACACCTCATACTAATAAATCTATCTATAATTTTCCATTGCTTTTATTTCTGTTCCTGTTATCTAAAATTTTCTCTGATGGGGCACTTGTTATTTTTTGAGTTGACATGGGAAACTTTGTTGCTGTTTGAATCAGTGATGTTTTTATTGTTTCTCTATCTTTTCATTGACAACAAGGATGTGTTTTCATCTGTATCATTTGTCATAAAATCATTTTGCATATATACATGTCAATGTCTGACATGTCTTTTATGTCTTTGTATGATGACCATGGTTAGCCTTGTTTGACAGATGATCCTTTGGGGAATATTGGACCAACTTAGAGTTTTACTTCCTATGAATAATTTTGACCACTAATTCAATCATTTTAGGGGGAAATATAACAAGAAAATTACTTTTAGTATCATGAATTGGTAATATTTTAATTTCTGATACATTCTATTTGCAAGTGAGACCTGAATTTTATGATAAAAAGATGTTCTTTCACTGTCACCTGCCACAACTTTTGTATGACTTCACCCAATTTTTTTTATTATTTCATTTGAGTCTTTTTATGACATTTGAAATTTTAAATTGTCAGGATATGCTGATAAATTTAAAGTTGTTGATCCTTCACCGTGCTAAGAGGATAGGTCATGTGCAACTAGCTGAGAAATTTGACCTTAAAGTGCTTCGAGCAATTGGTATGCCTTTATTTTTTGTTCCATATGATCTTCAATCTTCTTTTAAATTATTGTAGCCCTTTCTTGATATTGTCAAGTTGATGGATCTATATCCAATTGTCAGTTTATTATTGTCACCTTGCTTATGTCTAGGTGAGGCATGGTACAAGAGGCCCTATTTGAGAAGGCAAAAAATTGTAGATCATGACTTGCTAGCAACATGCTTCAACTTACCCCTTAGTGAATAACTTTGACGATACACACTAAAAAAATTAGCAATAGTCATTCAACTCTCCCTTTTTTAAGCATATCTACTGTAACATTTGGTTATAGTACTTCTGTCCAAAGATTAACTGCATATGCATATCTCATGACCAAGATGCCTTGTATTTCTCAGCCACTTTATGACTTTATTTGTAAAGTTGAAATTCTAATGGTAATCAAATAGATAACTCAAAGAAATAGGTAATTATTTATTAGGGATTGAAAATTGCTGACAGAGGAGCAATCTATGTGGTAAGACATATATGGTGTTTGTACGGAAATTGAAAACTAAGTAGCAAAGTGGATTATTTAGAAACATGTGAAAACAAAAAAATGCCATGACATGTGTCTGTACCAAATTGCTTCAATGATTATTTAAACACATTTATATATGGTGAATAATGCATTTCTGACAGCCTATGAATTTATGCAGCATTCATTTTGATAGAATATCTCAAAGAACAATTGAAAGATTCATCACTTACTCTAGATATGGTGAAGCCTGCTGCTTTTTTGGATGCTTGCAACTTTTTGAGATGTAATCATGAGGGTGTCATGAGTGTTGAAGATTTAAGTAAAAATATTGGCATTGATCCACAACACATTGTGAGAGGGTATGCTTACCTGCTTGAGTCTTGACTAACTTTTTTTTGTGTGATGATTTTAACTTTTCCTTGATAGCCTACTCTAGTCACTAGCATTTTTCAGTTAACCTTTAAACTTACTGGGTCAAGAAGAATAAATAAAATTGCTTCAATTTGTACTATTTGGCTATACTAATGTTCCATAGCCAATTTGTTATTGTTATTATATATGAACAGCTGCAATAGGTTTTGTGCTTTTATGTTATTTAATTTAGTACACTGTCTCGAAATTAATTGCAACTTCTTGTTGTCCAAATATATATATATATGGGTTCTTGTAGCTAGAGCTCTAGTACTTATGAGTAGAGAACAAGTAAGAACCATTTGACACTTGTAAGTTATCCATTGAGATATATTCCACATAAGATGCATGACACTTGTAATAACTAATAACTAATGCACTTCTACCATCCCTTGAACCATGCAAGATGCATGACACTTTTAAGTTATCCATTGGCGTTAGTTGCTGAAATTTCAAGTTTGCTGAGAACTTAGTCTCTAGATTCCTTAAAGTATCAATAATTATTTCATGTCTGTAATTTGACTAGTTTTTTTATCAATCAGTATCTTTTCCTCTTTGTTCATTTGTTGCTTCTTTCAGTTCCCCTCCTTCCACCCTATGTGTGGTTTAAGTGTTTTGTGATCAAGCTTCAATAAAAGCTTGAAAATATGCCGTTCTCCTTATAGCATGGCATTATATGATTGATTCTCTCAAAAAGGTCCGCCACATGTTACTTTTATTGAAAAACTTGATAGCAGAGTCAAGTAAGAAGCTTGTCTCCTTTCTCCCCTTTCTCCTTTTGTATGCTGTTGGGATCCAACCTTAATTATTCTGTGGGCATTGAATGTAGATATACCGACTGTTACTGGTATAAATTGCGGGGAAATGCTTGCACCTGTGAACACCAATAGTTCTTGTTCATCAGCTCTCTTATCATTTGCTCTTATTGCATATGGATATTGATATTCATGCACTTGCATATGGATATTGATATTCATGCACTAATTTGTTTGCACAGGCCCACAGGAAGAAAGAAGAAGCTGGGTGTTGCACAAGAAGAAATGGGTTCAAATCTAAAAAAAACGAAAAAGGAAGAGCTTTTTTGTCCGACACAAAAGGCAGAAGTTGAAAGCAGGGAACAATTAGATTTAATTGTTGAAAGGGCTGAAATTTATAGCTGATTGACGACTCACTCTGCCTTCTGGTGACTGGAACCTTAGATTTTGAATAACCTTAGCAACCTGGCAGTATTAGATCTATAGGTTTCCCCCGGCCGGGATGTGATGAGGGCTTGTATTGTAGAGAACTAGTTGGAGAATCTGTTCATAAATTTAAAAATTTGCTGAAAGTGTTGATTAGAGGCATTTATTTCAAAAGGTTTTTGTATTTAATTTAGCTCCATTGAAGTGATGAGTATGTTCATCAAAATGAAATTAAATTTGTATATGTACTGTAATTTGTTTATGGATCTTTTATATCAAAGGGCATTCTTCAATGCAAGCAGGCTAAGTGTTACTGTTTCGTGGAGAAAGTTGAGGTTGATCTATCGTGTAGTATACTTGGAGCTGTTTGGTTCAATACGATTGCACATGGTAATGAGTATTGCATTACCATTAAAAGAATTGTTTCGTTGGCTTTGGGTGGCTTCATGATAATTATTAGTACACATCATTACTAAAAACTTGGCCCTGTGGAATGATTTTATTGCATTTCATTACCATCTTTCAAAATTAATAATATTTTAAGAGAATACTCTTGGAAGTTGTTGAACGTGATCTCTTAATTAATAATATTCCTAAAAGCTGATAAATGATAGAGCACAATAACGTCTTGCAATTCATATAGCCGACCCCATTTAGTGAGATAAAGGCTTGTTGTGTTGTTGTTGTTGTCTTTACCATCTTTCAAAAATTGCCCCTTATTTTCTATCCCTCTCCGTATTTCCATCTGAATCACTTCTCCCTTATCATCATCGTCCGCCTCCCCCTTGTCTTTGCCATTAGCCATCCTATCATCTCACCACCATTGTCTGCCTACACTTCATCGTCTGTCAGCCGTTCCATCATCTCTAGAACACAGCCATCGCCACCCCTCTTCTACCCCACCATCAGCCTCTTCCTTCTTCATCTCCCCTACCATCACTACCTCTTCTCTCTCCATTTGTCCTCTCTCTTCATGGACCTCTTCATCTCTCTTCATCTGCCGACCTTTTCATCCTCTCCATCATACTTGGTGTCGGAGAGCCTTCTCCAGTGCTAACCAAGCCTTCTCCAATACAAATCTCTAGCACAGTATTATTTCTTTTCCTTGTCTAGTGTAGTGTTCTCTCTTTCTCCTGCCTTTCATTCTTGAATCCATAGACTATCTATCTATCTCCAGCGACGTCCTCCCCCCCCCCCTCCAGTGTCTTTCACGCCCTTAGATTTATTTATGGCCTTTGAGTAGTGTCATATGAAGTGAAAATCTCATGTATGGTTCTGTAACAGTGATGGAAACAGTAATGTTATCACCTACTCAGATTGTGTAACAATTTAAATACAATTGATATAGTTGATGGTGGTTTTTGGGGATAGAATTTATGGCGTCAACCTATAAGTTTTATCATTTTTCTAATTCTTCCCTAGCAGAATGTGAAAGATTACCTTTTGATTTACCAAAAGCAAAAGAATAATTAGTAGCAAGTTATCAAATCAAAATATTGGGTATCAAATTTGGTTTATTTTATGATGTTTTGTATTTAAACTTATTAGTTTCATCATTATTTGTAACAGTTCTTTACTCTATTCTATTCATATTTGTTTCTGAGCTTTTTGAAATAAATTAAAACGTGGAGTTTTTGGAACTACAATTGGTTTCTTTATAACATGTGGAGTTTTTGGAACTACAATTAATTTCTTTATTTGTTCTTGTTCCTTTCTATCACAATATAGATTTGCCTAGGCAAATAATGGATCAATTATTAAATCTTGGATGGAAATTTCTTTTAACTATTTCTCTGGGCAATCTATTACTAACAATTTCATTTCAATTGTTTTTATTGTAAAGATTGATATTAACAAGAGAAAGAAACAAAACCAAAGTATTCATAGATATTCACAATATGTTCTTCATGATAACTGGGTTCATGAATTATGTCTACGATCCTTTCTGGTTCGATTTTTTTTTATTGATCATTTTTTTTTCTTGGTTCATTCTGGTCAAGAATCAAATGGGATTTTCATAGATTGTTCTCATATGAATCCCTAAAATGCTGTGTCAGTTGGTGGTTTGGTCAAAGAAGGAAGCGGGTGGGAATGAATTTCCAGTAAAAGGGCATTTTCGTATCTCTACTTTTAGTTATATTAAATCAAATAAAAAAATTAAATTTCTTCGTCTCAATCCTAATAACATACCAAACATTCTCATGGTAATAGACATTGCGTTTTAAGATTGATTGTAATTGAACAAAACGGGCCCTTGGTTCTTTTCCTGTTAACCACTCACAGTTTTGTAGAGTTACATAGGTTTTATAGATAATGCCAAAGTTCTAAGGTCAAAATAAGAGATTAAAAATAATGCATGAATAATTTTTGAATAAGAAAAGAAGAGTAGATAAATTGAAATCATGTGTAATATTAGTTTTTATAATAGATAATTTCATATGCTAATATGTTCTAAATTTTAATATTTTAAAATAATCAAATAACATATATCCGACTAAAATTTTATCTCATCAACATTTTCAATCAAAACTACCAATAACAACATGCTTCTGGTAAGCCACATTTTATCTCGAGTTCTCAAGAGCAGAGTTCACGATGTATGTCAGCTAGAATAGAGCAGTTTATCCGATTAAAAACACCTCAGCATCCTCAATCCAAACCCACAGATGGAGATGTAGCCGTCTTTGGAGGCTTTAAATGTATGTAATACTTAATATAGACTCTCCATATCAAATTTTCATCCTTCAATTAATATTTCAAAAGTTATATAATTTTTAATATATTTTGACATTATGAATCAAGCTCATCTTCCATGAAAAAAATATATCTGTTAAATAATTAGTATGACCAACAAGAGCTTTGTCTAGTAAAAAAGAAATTCATTATTTACAATGTGATGAAACAGTATTCAAATTTTTGTTGGAAAGTATTTTTATTTATAACATCCGATGGTATCTTGAATATAATTACCCTTGAATATAACTACTTACACGCGATCAAAAAAAAAAAAAAAAATCAGCGTGACCAATGCGTTTGGCGTCTCCCAAAACTTGGAGCAGCTAGAAGGGAAGCACAATTCATAAATGTCTTTCGTTTCGAAACTTCAGCACAAAATATTGTGAAGAACAAGCATTAATGGTGGTTTCGCTTTGAAAATGTCACTGAGTATGGCATGTTGTTGAATTTGACTTGTGACGAGAATGCAAAATATAGAAACTAGTAAAGCAGCTGGCGGTTTTACCCTGCGCTATATAAAAGACAGTAGAGCACCCAGACACAAATTAAGTAATTCCTGAGAGTATGAACTATATATCTCATTAAATTTTACCAATCGATTCCATTTACATCACAATCACTCACAGAGCTACGGGCAGATCCTCTAACTAAAGTTTCCCAAGTATATTTCCGAGGCAACCAGGTTGACATCACAATGTCCTCAATCTTCATTATTATTAACTCAATAGGACTGATCATATTCTTCGCATTTTAGTGGCCAATATTCACTTGAGATCCGTGAGATACCACCCTACCGGCCGAGTCACCCATCATTTTGACACTACTATTCTCCAATCCACTTTTCAACCAAGCAAGGTTACTGATATCTGTAGCTATGGCTGCCAACTCAAAACTCGGGAATGATGGGGCCTCTGAAAATTCAATAAATTCTGGCCCCAACAAGGAGCTCTTGGCATTTTCACCACTTAGATCAGTGCAACAACCATGGCCACAGTGGTTAGGCACAGATAGGTCACAGCCATAAATTCCATCCAGCATTTTACAAATTTCAATACCAGGCTTGGATGCTTGAAAAAGAGGTCCTTGCATTGGAACTGGCCTAGAGGTAGAAGATGCAGGTTGTGAACCATCCAATGTATATAAACTAAAAGCACTAATACGCGCTCGAGGACGGAAAAGAGTAGGCGAATCCTTGACTGCATGGTTCATTTGACTCTCTGTCTGTGCCTGTCTTCATATTTATCCTCCATATTCTCCACAGAACTGACATCTCTTCCTTCCGAGGATCTCAAGGAATTAACATCCCCACATGACTGGGTTTCTTCTGATGATGCTTTTGCTTTCTCCAAGCTAACATCTTCCACCATGTTGCAAGCTTCTAATTTAACTTTATCAAGTTCTATTCCCCGACGCCTCAAAGTAGAATTCCAAGATTCTTAATGGCATTATCTGTTCTTCCCGGTAGAAGTCTGGCTATGGCTGCCCATTTGTTCCCATGGATTGCATGTGCTGCAACTATGATCCGATCCTCCTCATCTGAAAAGAGTACATTAAATAATTTGTTTACTGATAGGCAATTCACAAATATTGCATAAGATATTTGCATGGAATCAAGAAAACTCTAGTCAACTGTGTACTAAATAGAGGAATAACTTCTAGTCAGCTTCTAATGAAAGGAAATAAATAAAACCATTAAACAGGAAGAGATGTCTTAAAAACAGAAAAATGACTAAAATGACTCAAACTTGCAAAAATGAAGCATTTAAGCCTCAAAACAACCCCAACTGGGTGAACCCTAGTGGAAACATCAACAATCTCAAAACAACAAACCTTTTAATGCTCTGAGACGTCCACAAGAAACTTAAAAAAAGGCTATTCAAAATAGTATAAGCCCAAACTTCTCCCAGATCAAGAGTTAGAACCTTTCAATGGTCTGACAACCAAAGGCCTAGCCTTTACATTTGGGATCAATC